GTGTGTGTGTGTTTTTCCCCCGTCAATTAATGTTTTACTGGATTTGCAATTTCCTATTCCTGTGGGATTCTTTTCACCTTTCAGGAATTAAAAACCTTTTCTTCTCCTTCTGAACATATAAACTTATCCCAAAGTCTTGATGTATTTATTTTAACTTGAGCTTTTAGTATTTTGAGGAGGCTTACTGTGGAGAAATCAAACACTTGTATTAGTAATTCAAAGACCTTTATGTGTAGGAGGAGAAGCTTCTGTGTAACGAGGTAAGTGTGAGGCTTCATCATAACTAACTGGAGTGAACTTAATACTGGCTTTATTTGCAGACTTACGTAATGCCTAGTATATCAGTGATCTGCTTCAGATTATGTAAAAGACAGTAACTGGACCCCCCCCACACCTACATTTATGAAGGTGCATACTCCATGTCGTTACACAGAATATCTTTAAAAAGTGGCCTATGTAAGAATGCAGGATATCATGGGCGTGGGTGTGTGTGGGGGAGTAGGGGGCTTCTGGTATTGCATTAGAGTCTCTTATCTGTGTTAAATACTTTAGTCTTGAGAAGTCAGTGACCATATTTCTAACTGCAGTGGCTGAATCTCTACTCTACTTTTCCCCGGGGATACCAAACAGCATGGATGGTGTTTGTTAATTGACCATTTTGGCTTCTTACTGTATATCTATCAAGTCATTTTCATTGCTCCACCAATGCTGATCAGCTAAGAATACTCCCCATTGTGTTCTTGCCAGTTAAATGTAATGTGAGCGCTCACAATTTCATCTTAACATGTTGTTCAGCTGATGTGGTTTATTGGGTTAATATTCATTTGAGAAGGTGGAGTTTTGGTCCCTATAATTTATTTACTGTTGATAGAGTGTACTATTATTTGGAGTAGAATTTAGAATGTATCAATGCCAAAGTAAGTGCAGTTTGTCATAGCATGGATACTATGAGTAAAATATGCATGGAGGATCATACTAATCATTTATTTAAAGTAAATAGTAACAGATGACTTACAGTTTTCTCATCTGCATATATAATTTATTAAGAAAATGAGCCCTACTTTACTGAATTGACACAGATTGAGCAAAGTTTGAATCTCATTATTTGATCTTGAGCACGTTAAAAAAATTTTTTTTTCTAAGTTTATTTCTGTCATGAGTGAGAGAGAGATGTCTTCAACAGACTCTTCATAACGCAATCCACCCCCAGCTTTAGTCAGCCCCTGATGAAGGGCATGTACATGTCCACCAGGTCAGGGAGATTGTTGGATGTGAACCTGGAACTTTCTCATATGGGTCAGCCTTAAAAAACATTGAGTTACTACTGCCCCCCTATCTGGTTCCTGGGCAAGGTAGGTTTTTTTCTTTCAAATAAAATCGGCACACAACAAAATACTCAAATATTAAGTGTACAACTAAAAGTTTTATCTGTGTATTAACTATCACCCAAACAAGGTAGGAAACATTTATTTCTGTCATACAAGTTCCCTTTTGCCCCTTTCCAGTCAACTCTCTTGCCCAGTGATAACCACTATTCTAATTTTTATCACCATATAAGAGGTTCTGCTGTTCTTGAATTCCATGTAAGTGGAACCCTGCAGTATGCCCTCCTTTGTGTCTGGCTTCTTTTGTTCAACAAATGTAAGATCCATCCATGTTGTATGTCAGTAGTTTGTACCTTTTTATTCTTGTGTATATTCTGTCATTTGAATATACTATGAATTGTCCAGTATCATGTTGATGGGCATTTGGATTGTTTCTAGTTTTTGACTATTTTGAATAAAGCTCCCATGAATATTCTTTTACGAAGCTTTTAGTCAACGTAAACACTCAGTTCTCTTGGGCATATATGTAGGAGTGGAGTTGCTGGATAATAGGGTAGGTTTAACTTTATTAGAAATAGCCATAGTTTTCTGAGATGGCTGTATGATTTAGTATAGTCACTAGCATTATGAAAGTGTTGCATTTGCTCCACATTGTCACCATCACTTAGTATTCTGGTGTGCTTGTATTCTGGTTCCAGTGTTCTTTTTTTTTCAAAGAATTATTTAACTTTATTTATTTTAATTTGACAGAGAGGGACAGAACGAGAAAGGGAAAGTGAGAAAGCAAGCTGCCTAGTCTGGGACTCAAGCTGTGGTCTGCCATGTGGGAGTCCAGCGCCCTTAACCACCACATCACATGCTGGCCCTGTATTCTGGTGTTCTTAATGCTAACCATTTACTTTAGTTTTAATTTGTATTTCCCTCATGATTAGTCATGCTGGGTGCTTTTCTATATGCCTTTTGGCCTTTTGTTCTTTTGCTCATTCCTATTCACAGTCTTAGAAACAGTACAACTGAGAATGGTAAAAGGGGATGAGAAAGATGAAATCAAAGGATGTGGTGCTATCCTACTGCGCTGTGGGGATACCAAGAGTCGTGAGAATGGTTTATCCTTAGGCTAAATTATAGTCTTTTAGGTCACTGATCATACCTTTAGGGTGACACTTGTTGTTATAAACCCCAGCACTTTAGTAGCTTCAGAAAATAGAAGTACGTTTTTGTTTATCTGACTGTCCAAGAGGATGTTCCCAGTAGGTGGGTGGCCTTCTTGATAATTATTTATAGATCCAGGCACCTTCTATCCTGTGACTGTGCAGTCTTTGCTGTATGTCTTCCAAGGTCTTTTATGCTTCAGTAAGCCAGAGACAAGGAAAGTAGGAGCATCTCTGTGTATGCGAGATGGACTTATGAAGGATTTTTAAGGGTCAAGCAATGAAGTGGCTTATATATCTCTTCTCACATTCCTTTGTTGGGAACTTAAACCACATCTCATTGTAAGGGAGCCTTGCCTTTGTGCCCATGAAGCTGGGAACCAGCTAGCAGTCTATGTCAATACTAATGAAAATGGGGCATTCTCTAGGGTAGTCAATAGGTTTCTGTACTAAACTGAGTCGGGACAAAGAATTCCTGATCTCCTTCAAATGGCAAGGAATCTGTGTATCCTGGTAATATGATCTTAAATAAGTTGTCTTATTTAAGATCATATTACTGGACTGTAACAGTTGGAGGGTGACCATAGAAGTACAGATGACAACTTAATAATCTATTTTGTGATGGCTTAAAGTGCTTTGGTGAAAGCTCTTCTTTATCTATTACAATTTTCTTACCTGATATTTAGAAAATAGATGTAACTTAGAATAAAGTAATAAAATTACTTTGTCTTTCATTCATATTACAGAACTTACGACTTTAAAACCTTTAAAAACTATTTTTTAGTGACTTCTCTTTCTTAGGAAATTACTTCTAAGGTTGCCTATGGGAATTGCAAAGTTTGTTCTTGACACCTTTCCCTTGTGCTACTTAGATACTCCAATATATTGAAGTTGCCAAGTCATTATATTGTTCTTTTGTCATTAAAAACCTATAGCGGTAAGAGAAAGATTGCCTTGTATCTTTCAAGTCCTGGGTGAGCAGCCTTTTTAACTCTTAAGGAGCCCAGTGCACATCGTTGTTCAAGAGAAATTAATGTGGTCAAAACAATTGAGATTGAAATTCTGTTTTTTAAAATTATTTATTTAATTTTATTCATTCATTCATTTTAAGTTGACGAGAGAGAGAGAGAGAGAGAGAGAGAGAGAGAAAGAGAGAAAGAGAAAGAGAGAGAGACCCATCTTCTCCATTCTCCTTTCAGGACCTTAGAAAATTAGAGAGACTGATGGAACAGTTTCAAGCCAGTACCTCCAGGACTAAAACATGATTGGCCATATGGGAGTCCAGCAACGTGACAGATATGCCATCTGCTGGCTCTACTTTTCCAAATTCTTTAAACATTTATTATCCAGTTCCAAGCCACCAGGTCTGGGACTCGAACTGTTGTGGGCCGTGTGGGAGTGTCCAGTGCCTTAACCACCATACCGCCTCCTGGCCCCTTGAAATTCTAATAATAACTATACTCTCGTTCCATGTCACACTGCAGAAGAAGCTATTGTTATAGGGGCATACATACCTAATTTATAAAACCTAATCTGCAAAATGTGAAAAAAGGACTATATATTATTTGGGAATAGGAATCTTATACTCTAATGCTACTATAGCTTAAATATATCCCTCCTAAATTGATGTGTGTTGTAATGAGATTAAGAGTGAGAACTTGATTCAGTTATTATGTTAAAAAGTGGGACTTTTAGTAAGAGATTAATGATTGGGTGATTAGGATGGGATCTCTGTATTAAGTCCTGGTGGGTTTATAAGGAGAGAAAATTAGAGAGGCTGATGGAACACAGACCATGGTCACCCTGCCCATGCCTGCTGTCCTCTCTTCTTCTTTTAGCTATGCTTGAAGTAAGTCAGC